TTATCATGACTGAGGTTTGCGTGGTTTTGCCCAGTCTTTCCTGGCAAATGCTGGCCTAGTACCTCGATTAGGCCATGTGCTCTTCTTTCCAAATGCTTTTATCTATCATTTGACTATATAAAATAGCTAATGACAGCATTGCAACAATCACATTCTCAGAAGAGCTCAATGCATATGTTACTTCATTTTACTTACTTACTTACTCATGGAGCTGAGCCCTTCTGGAGGAGCCGCCAATTCTGCAGCTACTCAAGAATTTCCCAGCATTTTATGGAACCCGAAGGTTCATTACCATGTTCACAAGAGCCCTCCACTGGTCCCTATCCTCAGCCAGATCTATCTATACCAGCCCATCCCATCCTATCCTATCTCTCTAAGATCCATTCTAATATTGTCCACCCACCTATGCCTTGGTCTTCCCTGTGGCTTCTTTCCTTCTGGCTTTCCCGCTACTTCATTTTACAAAAAAGAAAAACTATGTGGTCTTAGTCTGCAAGTGAACTATACCGACTGAGCGACCGCCACTTGTCAGCGAAGTTAGTGCCAGCTTTAGCGGCTAGAGGGTGTCGTGTAGTCCGTGCAACAAATTGCCATGGCTGTTTATTTCGGTTTTCTACACCGGAGCCGCTGTTTCCTTGAAATAACTCCTCAGTTATCCTCACGAGGCTGATTGGACCCTGTTCCAGACCCATTACTTCTCAGAAAATCTGATATCGTCGGGAATCGAACCTGGGACGTCTGGATCTGTAGCCAGGAACTCTGACCATTAGACAACAGAGGTGGCCCATTTTACTTCATGCAAAAATTCTTTATACTCAATGTGAAACCCTTACATAGTATCTTCTGTTTTAAAGTAACTTGTTTTCAGGCCATTAACGGCATTTCAGTTGCAACTGGATATTACTTGAGGAGACAGATATACCAGTATTAATAGTAATAGTGTAGGTATTGTAGTAGGTAGGTAGTGTAGGTAGGGATGAACCAAATTTTAATTGATGCAAGTAAGGAGATTGGTCTAGAAGTAAACACAGAGGAAACTATATGTTGTTGTCTCATCACCAAAATACAGGGCAAAATCATGACATAAAGATAAGAAACAGCTGTTTTGAAAATGTGGCACAGTTCAAATATTTGGGAACGACTATATCAAATCAAAACCTGATTCAGGAGGAAATTAAGAGGAGATTGAACTCATGTAATGCTTTCTACCATTCAGTCCAGAACCTTTTGTCTTCTCGTCTGCTGTCCAAAAACATAAAAATTAGAATATACAAAACTATGATTTTGCCTGTATGGATGTGAAACTTGGCCTCTGACATTAAGGGAGGAACATAGACTGA